GTTCAGTTTCACTGGCAGGACGAAATGCGCTGTAGCTTCCTGTGATTTGTTGTATTTAAAAGCAGACTATCATATGTGGCTACCAGGAGGCACAAAAAGAAGGTACTGACACAAATGAGACTTTTCTTTTTCTTAGAGTTGAAGATATAATAGTAAATTTGAACACATTGGACTAAGCAATTCAGAGTCTGAAGTCTGCAGTTTTAGCATTTGGGGTCAGTTGCTGTCATTAATTCTTTTATGAACTTTAATAGAAGATTTGTTTTACTACTGTAAGATATTCCTATCCTTTAGTGATTACACAGGCATATTAAAAATAATGTTTGATATTAATGTTCAAAGCACCCTCTTTATTTAATCCCATTTATTGTGATTTTATTGTCAATTTCTTACTTAGTTTTAGCAGGTTATAATTCAGACTTTCAGAACTATAGCTGGTTTCCTGGTACAGAACTGAAACGAAATTCATTCCCTTATCGCATAGGACTCCAGCAGCAATTTTATGTTGATTTTTTTATAAGTTGTTCTCTATGAGTCATTGAATCTTGCAGTGATTTTACTGTTCATTTTAAGACTTAAAAAACCCATTTTTCTCTCTGTTAAGCACTTGCCTTTCCATTTACTACAAATCAGAATTTGACAGCAATTTTTTACTGTGCACTGAAGCATGCATCGTGTTAGAAGATGTACAATAAGTAAGGGGGTTTCTTTACCATGTCTCTCTAGTGATACCACTTCTAGGAATGCTTCCCATTGGAAAGTTCTTAAAGCATTTTACAAGAAACTTAAATATCAAATACATTTTGGAGATGAGCGAACAAAACCACAAAGGACTGACATGATTCAGCGACATTAAGCACAAAATATAGGTCTTCCGTGGTCTGTCCCAACCTTTAGCATCTAGACAAAATTTTCACAGATACTACATCAAGAATGGTGATATGAATACAGTCTGATACTTATTAACCAGTTTCTCCTGAATGCCACTCACAAGCTACCTCTCTGATCTGTAACATTTGCCTGTTCAGTAGGAGTTTTTTTGTTTGGTTGATTTGGTGTTTCTTGGTGTATTTTTGTTGTTTGTTTGTTTTAAAGCAATTAAATAGCTCAGTAGTTCTATACTGGCTCTCATGTATGTACACATACCAGAAGGTCTTCACACCAAGAAGGTTGTCATGAGGTTTTAATGTAGTGACTTGCTTTGCTGATAGCCTAGGTGTATCCAGCATAATAGTTTAAGGAAGTGATGTGGATTCAAAGCATTCCTTGACACTCTACTGATGATACAAACTTGTAAAAAAAAAATCTCAGTGAAGGTTTAAACAATTTTTGACATTTTAAATCCTTGAAAAACAAAACCTCTTTTGCCTGCTGCTGTTTCTTCATGTAGTAACTCCCTCTAGTGCAATTTAGTCCAAAATGTATATCTGTTGTATAAGAGACAAATACCATTCAATAACATAGGCTTTGTCTCTGAATATGGACTATTGCTAGATTCCATATTTTAATGAACAAATCAACTGATAAATGGTGAAGACTTCTGTTGACAGAAATGTCATATTCCATTTTTATCTTTCTACTTTATTTTTTGTCATTCTGTTGTTTAGAGTGTAAGTAACTCAGGGTAGGGGCCTTCTAGTCATGTTTCTGGAGTTCTGCCTTCAGCTCTTGTGCAACCTAAATTTATACCCATAAAGTTCAAATAAAATTATAGAATCATAGAATGGTTAGGGTTGGAAGGGACCATAGGCAGGGACACCTTCCACTAGACCAAGTTGCTCCATCCAACCTGGCCTTGAACACTTCCAGGGATGGAGCATCCACCACTTCTCTGGGTAACCTGTTCCAGTGCCTCATCACCCTCACAGTGAAGAATGTCTTCTTTGTATATAACCTAAACCTACTCTCTTTTAGTTTAAAGCCATTTGCCCTTATCCTGTCACTATATGCTTTTGCAAGAAGTCCCTCTGCAGCTTTCTTGTTGGCCCCTTTTAGGTACTAGAAGGCTGCTATAATGCCTCACTGGAGCCTTCTCTTCTCCAGGCTGAACAACCCCAATTTTCTCAGCCTTTCCTCATAGGAGATGTGCTCCAGGCCTCTGATTATCTTCATGGCTCTCCTCTGGACTTGCTTCAACACACATAACAGACTTTTTCAAATGGGACTGTTTCTAAGCAGTTTTAGTCTTGTTCCCAGCTTGTGTTTGAGTGGTTCCTGGTAGTTGACTACACTATGCACTTTAAGGAGGAAGGCAACAAAGGTCAAGGAGTTCATAAAGTCATTAGTGAAATGTCAGAAACAATTCAGTCTAAATAAAATATTTCCCTGAAGATAACAAATACCTGTTATAAAACATTCCTTCCAACTATATTTCTATGCTATTGAATTCATCAGATAAGAATTGGACAGTTGACAAAAATGAAATCTAATATGTAAGATACATATTTCTAGAATATTTCCTCTGTAAAAGCAAAGGAGAAGTGGGGGTGTTTGGCTTTTTCTTTTTTCTCTTTTCTTCAAACAGACTGAAACTAATTTAACAGAATTTCTCATTGTGTTCCCAAATTTTGAGTTTAAAGTTAACAGATAAAGGTTATAAGTAAGCTCAATATCGTTTGTTCACACTATGACACATTTTATTTTAATAGTAGCCTTTCTTGCAAAGTATGAAAATGTCCCAGCAGTTTCCTCATTAAGTCTTACTTAGCAATGGAACAATTTGAAAGTAGGGTTCACCCCTTTTTTAGCTTTCTTTTCTGTTCTTTGGAAAAGTAGTTTTGCAGTCCACTCCATTGTCTCATGTCCTTCAACCCAAACACATGCCATTCTGATGAAGCAGAAAGGAATCTCTCCTGCACTAGTGTCAGGGTGTGATGACCTGCAATGCTAGAGAGACAGCAATTGATGCAAACACTGAGTCCAATGAGGGAAGCAGAACTTGATGTGGGAGAGCTATGAAGCCTTTGGCAGGACTCAAATTTGTATTTTTAAATATGGGAAAATACAGCTGTTGAGGCTGACTTGATCTCAAAGATCTTTATAATACAGCTGACTATGACTACTTTAGGCTATTTTAAAAACATGAGCTGCAGGATTTCCTCTGGTTTGCAGAGCCAGGAAGATTGATGTTTGCAGTTCTGTTGTGCATAAATGTTCTGTATGAATAAAATATTTGGCACTGGTTAAATGGATATAATATTGGTTGGATGGCACTCATCACTTCCTCTTTTATAAAGAATTTGATCATTATTGATTCTGGGACTCATGATATGTCACTAGTACTAAAGAACCTACTACTTTCAGGAACTCAGTTTAGCAGAGATTCTTTTTTGAGAGGTTCTAAGACTGTAAACCTTGAATGACAAAAACATATTTTGTGTAGTTTCTGTTTGGTTAGTGTTTGATAATTTTTGTTGTCATTATTCTATTAAGCAATTAAGCCTAATTTGAGAATTGGGTAAAGCAGTGTTTATAGATCTTTTGTTTCATTTACAGCATGATCAGTTCTCACTGAATTACCTTTCAGAATCCAGGTGGTAGTCATTAACACTGATGCCATTATCATTCAGCTATAGAGGATTTAGTTATTATTTCTAACAAATGTTTTCATGTATTGAAGATTTGATAAAACATTATTTTGTTGACATTATCTATTAAAACAAAGGGATTGGCATGATGGATCTTAAAAAGTGCATGGATCTTAAAAAGTGCATGCTGGAGACACTTCTGTTCAGTCCCATCAAGATCATGTGTGCTTCAATAATGTTTATGTAGATGAATCATAACTCAATACAAGGTTTTATGCACAAAAGGCATTCAGATGCTTTGAAATGTTATCCTTTTCAGAAAATTTAAAAAACAAGTTCTATGTTTACAGATAAACTGGCTCTTTCCATGCCTTGATTGTACATGTCTATCAGGGCCTCAGAAGTCCAGGATGCTCTTAGATACAACTTTTTCACAGTTCCTAGTAACTGGCATCATGCATTATGCTACAGATTGGTTCCTGATGCTTTTTGTTGCAAGCCCTTTCTTTTGTTAGCTTGTGTGATAACAAGGGTAGAATTCTAAAAAGTGAATCCAAACTTCTCTCTTCTTAGTTTGCTTTTTCTATCATCTGCTCTAATATGAAGATTTTTCTTGAGATTTATTGACATCAGAATATGTGCCAAATCGGTCATTCCTCACTTAATGAATATTTACTTATTTGATCAAGAAATCATAAGTCATCTCACAAAATATCCATTTTGTGATTAAGGTGCTTTTTAGACAGATCTCAGTCAAAGTGCTCCCACAATTTCCTTACTGAAAACAAAAGCAATCCTGCCACACAAACACTGGCTAATATTTCAGTGAACAATTTATACCAGACTGAATATTTTTATTATAATGAAATCTGTACCTTGATGTGACAGAATACAAATGGATAGATCCTTTTACACCTCCATGACACAAACAATTATGTGTCACTGGTTTGCTAACAAATGAAGATATTTTCTAACCAAATGACACTCTTGACTGCAGTTTACTGCAGCTCTTCATATTTTGATGGATAGCCGCAATTCAGAGGATAAATTGTGGGTTATAAAACTGGCTAAGCTGGAAGTTAGGATGTAGGATGCTTTTCCCCTTCTCCCACAAACATTAATGAAGAATAGGTGATTATTGTAGGCGCATTTCCATCTACACAGTTTTCTGTAGGTGTATTATATACTCTGTTGCTCACATTTGGACTGTGGAATTGAGTATGTATTACAAAGCGAAAGCTTAAAGACCACCCAGGCTGGCATTCACTTCAGCAGAATATCAGATTAAACTCGGTTTAAGCATGTTCTTCTAGAATTGAGGCAGAGGAGACAAGTCATTTTAATGAAAAATCTATTTACCTTGTTTATATAGAAGAACAGAATCTAATTTATTTGTGTGCCCATCTGGACTAGATTGCTCATTTTAAGTTAATTTAACAAATGATAGACTGCTACTGGCCTTTTTTTTCCCAGGAGAAGAGGTTGACAGACAGCTGTGTAGAGATGCTATCTACCCAATCCCAGTTGTCTGCGAAGCTCCGTGCCCAAAGGACTGTGTGCTCAGCATGTGGTCTGCATGGTCCTCCTGCTCCCACACCTGCTCCGGCAAAACCACAGAAGGGAAGCAGATGCGTGCCCGTTCCATTCTGGCGTATGCAGGTGAAGGTAAGGTCGCATACTCTTGCAGGCTCTGGTTTGATTGTGAATTCTCAACTGTCAAAGTCATGGACAGAACAAATTATTAGATAGAGTTGTGGGGTTTTTTTTAAACACAGAAAAATTATTTAAATGCTTATCCGGCATTTACTCCTGGTACCTAAAGCCGTTTTAAAGAAGAGATTTTATTTTTCTCATTTCAGTTAATGTTGCTATTTTTTATCATTCTGCTTAATGTTACTGTTTCTATTTCAAATAGATGGTTGTCTTGTTTTCTGTTAAAATTGGACAAGGCAAATGGTTTATCCAATGTATATTATTAACCCTAATTTAGGTCAAATTTGGATGGATATAAGTATGAATGCTGAAAAAAATGAGAATTTTATGGCTCAAGTGTTAGCAAGTGATTTTTGTAGCTTCTTATCTCAAATTGATAACTTATGTTGCCCCATTAACATTTTTATTCATAGCAAGACCTTGGCTTTGCCTGCAAGTCCTCACTCGTGAATGGTTTCCATTTATGCAAATGATCCTTGCGCAGCATCTGCAACAAATGCAAAGACATAGATGGAATATTAAGGAGATGAAGAAAAAGGTTTTAGATATAGGTTCATGTCTATCCTTTGATGATTTTTCCATGCTTCCTACAACTAGTTTTGTTTTGGTTTTAAGTATTTGGGGTAGGTTATAGAGCAAATGCATTCTATATGTAACATGGTGCTAAAATGGCCACATCAAGTGTGCCAGGGTGCAACACCAGGAGACAGGAGACATAGCCACCAAAGAGTTCTTGGAAAATGTTTATTCACGTGTATTACTGACAGAAAAGTTAAATGCCTTTAATATGAAATGATTGCATGCATGTGCTCATTATTCTTTAAAACTATTAAGCATTTTATTACTTTAAGATGAAATTCAGCTGAGAAATGAAAGTTGTAAGGTATGGAAGCAGTAAACAGAGTATCTGTACACTGGTTGCAAACACAGTTAACATCGTTGCTAAAAGTATACTGTGTATATGAAAGAATTCAGGTGATTGTAAAAAAAATGTTGCAGAGCACTTTCAACCTTTCCCCTTTGTTAGAAGTATAGGAGGCAATCAGAACTATACTCATTTTAGTATGTGATTCAGATAGTAAGTTGCTTAGAAGAGGCAATCAGAACTATACTCATTTTAGTACGTGATTCAGATAGTAAGTTGCTTAGATGGATCTGTGTAGCAAAGTAGAAGCTCTCTTAAAATTAAAAACAAAACTGGGTTTATGTTGTCTCTTATTTTCTAGTGTGTCAAATGCACTCATTTTGGATGAAACACAAAGCCAGATAATGCAAATAAACATATATTTTTGTGCTCCTTGCTTTTCCATGTAGGTCAAGACAATAGTTTTTCTGTATGCTTTTGTAGCTTTACTGGAGACAGGAATCTAAAATCCAGATGCAGCAAAGGTGTTCAGCATAGCCTGGATGTCTCCCTCTTTCTTCCCTGTCTTCCAGTCATCCTCTCTGGCTCATCTCTTGCATGTCACTCAGCCCTTGTACATCACTCGCATCACCCTTCTTCAGATACTTCCTTGTCCAAAGGTTCTGCAATTCCCAGTTCCACAGCATCCATTCACCTGGCCAGGTGATACTCTTCTTGCCCTATTGTCATCTAAATTGTTGGTCGTCCACAGCCTCTTCTCCTGGGCTCTCCACCCAGAGCTCAACTGGCCTTGCAATCAACATCCTAATTCACAGCTTGCTAGCAGAGCCACTGGGACCAGATGTATTCCTCAATAAAAAGTATATAAATAAATAAAAGGACCTTCCAAGGCTTAGTATATCATTACAACACTAGATGGAACATACTTTTCACCTTTGCTTGTATTATATTCAGAAAGTATCAGTCTAACTTTCGGTTTTTTATGCTTCACTGGAATTAGAGTTATTGTCATCTTTCTCCTCATACATCTCTTATGCCTTTTAGTCATTTGCTGTGTGACAAATAACTGAATGACTTTTCACCTCCAGAATTGTATGTCAGAGATCAGCTGTGTTCCCAAAATATAAAACACTGATTGGTGTGGTTGGTGCTGGGAGGTCATTTTATGTTCTGGGGCCACAGAACATATTCATGTATCTGAACATCTGTATTCTGCTGATATAAAAAAGGAAGCTTCACATAGACATTTTTGGCAAACATGCAGTTCTCAGTTCTATTCAGAACTTAGAAAAAAATGCACAGTACTGTTGATGAAAATTCTATAAGCATCATGTATAACTAAAAATCCCAAGTCTCATAAATGTAAGGCAAATTAATCTATTTTCACACTAAAACTGAGTTCTGAAAACAGCTGTTGGTTCTGTTCAGGTGAACAGTCCCACAGGTCTTTTCTCTTGGATTTTTGAACCTTTCCTTGAACTGCTGGTGTGAGAGACCAGGTTAGGTAAGCCATTTCATAGTAATTTCTGTATCATGTAGCTATGTTATTTGAGAGTTTTTATTTAGAACACAATAGGACAAATATATTGTACATAAGTAAATGCTATTCCTAGTATATATCAGGATTGGATGTTAGTGAAAGAATGTGCAAGACTTGCCAATCTATGAGGAAGGCTAAACTTGACTTCTAAGATGGCATAAGGAGTCCAGGTTTATCACTGTGAGTCCTTGATCACACACATCCTCCTGCTAGTCATGGAGAATTCAGTCCACAAGCCTAGGAGGATCAAAGTATTGCAGGCATTACATCTGCAAGGAATACTGCAATCCTATATCTGAAGTGCTTAATTTTTGTTTATTGGGGTACTTACACATGATCACTCCATTGAAATATTTGAGGGGCTGTAATTGCACGTGAAATAGGTTTTTTTATCTGAATCTTGGATGGCATCTTACCAAGTATTGCCTGTGATTGTTCAGTTTCTCTCCTCTTTGAAATAAAAAATACTATATTCTCTCATTTTGCTTGTTAATGTTGGCAAATGACTGTATGTAATAGAGATATGTTATTTCACACTTAAGAAATTCTTTTTCTTCCTACTTCCCAGCTATCTGTGCTGCTGAATTGGTTTGAAGAAACCATCAAGTTAGCATAACTGGCTACCAGGAAACAGCTATAGCATAAGAAATTTTTTGGATGACTTAGAATAGGAATAATTCAGTAGCATTATAGTAATTCCTTGGTGACAAGAATAGCTTCACAGGAAAAAATTAGGCCATACACAAGCTACAATAGTGACAAAGTGAGCTCTGGGATGTGACTGGTCCTCCAGCACCACACTGACTTCTGCTCAAGCCAGGAGCTGACCTCAGTTTTATACCCTCATCACCATTTCCTTTTTCAGAACAAGACCTTTCCTTGTGGTCAAACCACACTCTGCAGAGCCTCAAGTGCAGTGTGGTCATGCACATCTGGGATGGGCTTATTTACTTTACATTCAGTGGAAAGAGAGAGAGAGAGAGAGAAAGAGGAGTCCCTTTCCTCAAGATAAAGACTTTTTGTGGTTTATGAGATGACTCCATGTGGAAATGGGTGTCACAATAACCATTTTCGATATCTTTTCTGAGATCATTGTCCTCAGCTTGAAGGTTTGAAAGGCGAAGTGATTTATAAATTTGCCTGTCTGTGAGCCTGTCTGTAGTGGTAGCTCATTTGTGTCACTGTCAAATACATCTTCATGGTACACTAAGAAACCCGGGAAAGTCACTGTCTCAAAATATAAAATGACAGCAAAGGACATAATGATGTTACCTGATATACCATACAGTTGTTCTGCATAAATCTAGTAAAGGCATCATACACAGCTTGGCCTGTCTCTGTTGAATGTAGGATTTCTCTATTTTTGGTTTATATTCTGTTTAATAATTATGTCTGTTTATAATTTCCTACTTACAATAAATCATATGATTAGTAATATGCACTGACTACTTCACTATACAACCAGACCTGAAACTAAAAAGTACTAAATGAATCTTAGTCTTCCCATAAGTGCAGATTGATTCTCTATTGATTATCCACTGCTATTGATTGACACTGCCAGATCAGTGTCATACAGCATAACACTACTGTTGTGGTTACATTCCAACTTTTATCAGTAATACCAATTTTGGAAGAGTAAAGATTTAAAAACCCAAAGAAACACAAATTAAATGCAAAGAAGAAAATAATCTCATTTAATAGCTTAATGTAATAAAATGAGAGTGAAGGCTGATTTTGTTTGACATTCTCTTAGGGCAGGGTCGCATGTGCATTGCAATGTCTTACTATGGCTATCGTATGCTCATAGATTAGCAAAGTGTAATGCCAGAAGGACTATTTAGTGTGACTATTAAATATCACTGAGTTAGATAGCATAGAATATCAGTTGTCCATCTCATCAGATATTCTGGTTGACAGGGCCCAATAGCTCTTCTCAAATATCTGCAAGATTGATTTACTGAACATGTTAGGAATAGCTGGATCAAAGGAGTTTCTTCTCAACAGTTGAGAAAATTACAGTTGATATGCTGTACAATATTATTCCTGTTAAAATTCCAGTACAGTTTGACTTCATAGTTGCAAATGAGGAGTTATACTTCAGGCTTTTAAATGTATTTACTGTTCTTACACTTCTTGAGTTTGTTTTTACTTTTTGTATTTTTCTGGTTTGAAATAATAGCACTTGGTAATTAAGTCTGAAAGCACATAATTGTGAAATTGTTTTCCTAGTAAATTACTCATTCAATAAAGATAAGTTTTAGATAACATGGAGATTTTCATGAGACAGGAATAAAAAAATCATACATTCATATCTGAGCTATTTTATAAATAATATGCAGGTCCCTCTGCAAAGCTAGTCTTTCCTTTTGAAGTCTACTTTGCTTAGGTATCCACACACAAAATAAATGCTTCAGCTCCACTTGGGTTTTTTACCTTGAAATATTTTTTTTTAGTACTGCCAAGAGTTATTTACTGTCATCTGATCATGTATTATTACAGAATGTTTTTATTATTGTATATCCCTTTTTCACATATTCTGATCAAATCAAATGTCTATTTTAATTTTTTTTTCTGGGATACTCGTTAACTTTTATATTCCTGTCAAACCTGTCCTCTTTTGGGGATCTGCTCTTAAAGCTGAGCAGCCCTGATCTGGTTGCACCTACACAGATGTTGTAAAGGGCATCTCTAACTGCCAGTTTTCCAAACCCTTCTGCTTTTTCGGTACCTATTTAAATTTGAGGGAGCACAAGGGAATGCTGTTTTCTTGGAGAGAATGACACATTGATTTATAAAGAAATAGTTGGGGGGTTTATACTACAAACATTTGGTACTAGGGATAGTTTTTATTTTAGTGATATCGTTTCCACATTTCTTTCAGTCTTTGTGTGTTTTTAACTCCTGGTTTAATCTGAACAGAATTGGATTCCCACTGAGCTACAGACATTCATGCCCCAATGTTTTTCATTTACAAGTCAATGTCACTCTCATTTTTTCCCTGAATATACATTCTCAAATAGCTGTCAAAACTGAACCTAAGTTGTCATCTTATTCTCAAATGCCTTAGGAACTGGTGGCTGTGGCATCCAATTCTGGGGAAACATTTCTTCCCACACCTCCTTCTTTCATTTATGAATTTCCTTAAATATTTTGTGTTTCTTCTTGAGCTAACATCAGATGGAAATTAATTAGTAAACTTCCTTATGTCTTTTAATTTCTCCTTTTTTAACACTTTTACTGGGGGAATATGTCTAGACTCCTACATAGTTCAATTTTCTCTTCTGTGACAAATAATTTGTGACTTCACTATTTATGTGGGGTTTTTTCTTAATTTTCAAAATGCACTCACTTTCCTAATTTCTCTTCTTATATTCCTATCTGCTGGTGTTAGCTGGAAAATCTTTTCTTTGCTGATTACACAACTTTTGGAAACTTATTACATGACCATAATTTTATTTTACTAATTGTTTTTTTGTTTTCTTTTTTAGGAAAATGCATCTGATGTTATGTCTTGATGCTTTACATATTGACATATATTTTAGGCAATTCAGATAGACTTGAGTTGCATCCATTCTGAGCCCAAAAAATATTTCACGTTATTGTTTAATCATGTATTTGTAGATTTTTCTAAACCTTCTCTACAAAACGTAAGATTAGCTAGTCTGTGACATGACATCTCAGTTAATATAATGTTTATTGTTGCTTGGTTGCATCAATATTTTTAGCCCAAAGCTAGAACTTAAAAACATCTCCAGGGAAATAATTTGGGAATTTGACTTTTATCTTGTGGTTTCATTAGAATGGCCCTTTCCTCATGTTTGCTGCAGATCTAGACATCTCACAAAAACAACTTGAGGTATAAAGTTGTGTTGGAGTATTTGAAGCATCCATTGCTTCTTCAATTACATTTAGTTGTTTGTTTATTTTCTCTCCACAATTAGTGCTTAAATCCCCTTCCCTCTTGCATGTCTGTAGAGCAGGAGGTCAACCTGAAGTTCAGTGCTGGGATATAAAGGCTAATGTTCTCTCTGACATGCATTTGGTGTGAGCATACATTTTGCTTTTCAGAGTGAAGTTGTATGGCTCATCTGCAGTAATTAATGAAAAGCTCCTCTTCTGATTGTCTTTTTTACTTTTCTTGTCTTTTAGGAAAGGCTAAAATGTTACTTAGATTTTCGTTGCCTTTCTGTCAGTTGAAGTTAGGAGTCCTATTGTTCTTTGTAGGCCATGAATGTTTAAATTAATTCTTAAACCTAGATTCTGTATGTCTAGTAACACCAAATATCTAGCAGACATGCTGTTTACTCACAGAGCTGGGCATCTAGCTGCCCATGATCAAGTCTGGTAGGAATGAACCTCTTCATTCCTCATGGAGGATTGGGAGGCTGGAGGAGCTTTGAAGTGCTTGAATATAATAAACTGAACATACAATCTTAAACTAAACACAACAAAGATAGCATTATCTGAGCTTTTCTTCACAATTATTGACACTTGAATGCATTTTAATCTTAACCTGCAACAGCCTTTGTTAGCTCAGTCTGGACCTGAAATTGCCAGCTGTGCCATCCTCTTTGGTAATTACATAACATGGATAAACATCCACTGGGAGCTAGGACAAGAGCTCCAAAAATCTTTTTAATTGATCCATGAATTAGACATAAACAGTGGTCTTTACTCATGCATAACTAGAATAATTAACCATTTCTTCTGCCTAGAGCCTTCATATGTCCTTATGTGATCTCTTGCAGACTCTTTTAGAGAACCCCAAAATAATAAGGCTGTAGATTACTGCAAGGATATTAATGTCTTAGGAAAGTTATGATTTTTTTTGCAGCCTTATAGTACAGATTTGCATTTACTGTCTGTGATCAGTCTGTTCTGTGCAGTCTGTTGTCTGAACTTTGTCAAAGTTAATATTGGGCATATGAAGAGGGAGAAAAAGGAACAGCATTTCTTGCATGTAATCAAACTGATAATATGTCACTAATAATATTTCAAAGTGGGTCTGTGGGTTTTTTTAATGAAACAATTTATCTCCTTCCACTGCATGAACTTTTGCCCTCTTTTATTGTTCCAGGAGGAATACAGTGCCCAAATAGTAGTGCCCTACAGGAAACACGCAGCTGTAACGAACACTCTTGCACTGTGTATCATTGGCAGACCGGCCCATGGGGACAGTGCATAGAGGATACGTCTGTCTCTGCTTTCAACTCCTCTGCCAACTGGAATGGGGAGGCCACCTGTTCTGTGGGGATGCAGACAAGAAAGGTCATTTGTGTGAGAGTCAACGTGGGACAAGTGGGCCCGAAAAAGTAAAGATCTTAAAATATATCTTCATGCTGTAATTGTCTTTGAATTTTACTGCTTTATATATTTATCATAAATGACTGCATGCAAAGGCCCAAAGCCTCCCTTCTTTGTGTTCTCATGAAGAAACATTTTGTCTTCTAAAACTACAAAACTGACGCTACAGGAGGACTATATAATACCATTCTCACTATTGATTTTTATGGGTAATATTTGCAGTAGTGATTCTGCTTACTGCTGACTAAATCCAGTTGGCTCCTTGCCATCATCAGGTTGAGTTGAGATAAAATTCTTGGGGTATGTGTGCGGCATGCAGAGCAGCACCATTTCCAAGATCCTTGTGGTACCTCCAAGCTGGTAGTGCAGTATTTGGATTAGTGCAGTTCCATGCAAAAACAGTGGTTTGGATCTAAATACAGGTCAGCACATGCAAATGCATCTTCTCAGAAGCAGACCAAGGAGGTATAGCCTCATAGAACTCTGACAGGGCTTTCATTAATTTGAAACATTAGTTTGAACATTAGCTGGACAACCTTTGTGATTTTTTCCCCATATACCTGTTTTTTTGAGATCTCTTTGGCCCAATGATTAAATTCATTAGCTGGACAACCTTTGTGATTTTTCCCCATATACCTGGTTTTTTAAGATCTCTTTGGCCCAATGATTAAATATTAGAGTGCAATGTATGACCCAGATTAGCTGCTGGTGAAATACATTTGGTAATATCTTCATACAGATTGACAATCTGTAAATATATCCCACTCAAGGCAAATTCAAAACTAGAAGAGTTGAGAGTAGAGATTGTTTAGGAAGTTCATGAGAAATCTATTCTTGCACTAAATATTTGCCCAGTCCCTGCCATTTGTTGCTTTATTTTGAGGTCAACTTAAGCCTATTTTACTTTTAATGGAAATATGGGAAGTAATACCAGCAGATAATCTAAATTGTTGTGTATCTGCACTAAGTTGCTGTTCTATTCAGTCATGATACCATTATATCTTTTGGTTGGTATACTTATATTTTTTTTAAAAAACAACCGTCATGATTTATAATCTTTTTAAAATCTGCTGTTAATATCTCTCCTTTGATTTGACCTTAAATTTTGGGAGAAGACCTGTTTTCTTCTTTCATAAATTAATCATATGAAATGAAAAAAAATTCTTCGTTGATCTTTCAAATTGTCACATTAACATCACTGAATTGTTTTTAAAGACCCAGAAATTTAACATGAAAATCTAAATAGGAACCTTGTTTTAAACTCCCCTTAATAAAAAGGATTACTGTGGTACGATACAATCAATATTATTGGCCTTATCTGCCTCACAAGTTACAGACTTCAGCATGTATCTTTTCTGTTTAATTTGACCTTGAGTAAGGACTGCAAAAAAATCAATACTTAGCTTTAAGTCACATATAGTAAATACAAACAATATAAAGGATAGAAATGGTGTTCTAATTGAACTAATTGCCTTGCCTAAGGATCTGAAGAAGAATTGTAGTGTTCAGTGCTCCTGAAAAATGAAGTTCTCAGTGAAATGGTGAATGTGTATATTTCAGACTGTTTTGTATGCATATAATTTCTCCTGTTCTTTAGCAAGAAAGCTATTATTAAGCCAATGTTTGATACTTTTCAAGAACATTATTTTATTTTAGCCTATAGACAATATATGCGATTGGTAGCAGAGAGGTGTTTTTTTTAAAGTGTATCTATATTACACCCATGCATATAGAATCTGATCTTCTGAATCACATAGAGACAAGGCACAGTTTGACTTAAAAATGTAGAGAGAGCTTACACAGAGGTGATGGAGATTTGTGTTGCTGTAGCTATGTTTTTTCATGATTTTTCACATTAGTGGCAGGGGAGAAGAGAGAAAGGGTGGAGATGTCATTATAGGAGGGTGCCCAGGAGTTAATGCTGGTTCACAATACTGGATCATGCACTGAGAAGCTTATGTAAATTGAGAGGAAAATGCTGAGACAACTGATGGAAAACATGAACTAGCAAATGTTATTGCTGAAGAGTATGTTCCTGTAAAGCTACAACTCAGCTTTTCTTCTCCACACACTGCACAGGCATAGTTCTCCACTGACCACGGAGACCATGTTTTCTTGATAGCCCATTAGACTTTCCTGTGCTCCATTTGGAATGGCAAGAAAGTTGCCTCATGCCAGCCAAACTTCTCCAGATGATGCAATCCAGATATAAAACTAGTCTTTCATCTCTGTGGTCCCAGTTACCCAGCAGCCATAAGAAGAAAATCTAGTCGTAATATTTTTCTGTAATGAGCCAAAAGCTCCAAAATACGGAAGTGATGTTTTCCCTACCTCTTTACATATTCCTTTGACAGTCGACAGTCTGTATACTTTTAAGGCAGTAGTAATTTTGAAATTATTTCAAAGATTTGCAGTACTTCTGCAAGAGTTATTGCATTATTCTGAAACAAGTATTGCAGCATAGAGAGTTGTTTGTCCTTGATTAAAAAATAGTAGGTACATGGAATGGGGAAAATGGCCTGGGTTAATGAGTCCCATATGTGGCAGTCCAATAATTCTTTTTATATGCTGATCAAGCTTTTTCCTAAAACAAGCAATGTTTTCTATCCTTTCTGACAGACTTTCCCAGTCTCATTGATCTGGCTGTTTCAAACCCTTTTCTGGTTTCTCATAGTCATGGACAGAGTATACCCATTTGTTCCTGAGTTAGCAGTGTTATTTAGTTTAAATGTCTCCTTTCAGAGTTTATGCTTCTGATGGGACCTACAAATATATTTTGCTAAGCTAAATGAAATGGCTTTTCTTCATAGTCATGTGGAAGCTTCAAAATAGCCCTCAAAAGGGAGTCTGGCATGATGAGTGAGGAATTATGATTTTTGAAGTTAAAACCCTAGATGCAGAATACATTGGGTTTGGCTTGCTTTCACCATATGTATTTAAATGCTAATAGTTTTTATTTCTGTGCTCCATCCTGGTGAATTCTGGACAACTTGCACTGCCCTTGTGTGCCTGCAGGCATTCAGTACCTCTCATGATTCACTATGTCACTGCTGAATGATTGTTTATTTGATAATGCTTCTTTGTAAATTTTTTTTAGATGCCCTGAAAGCCTTCGACCCGAAACTGTGAGACCTTGTCTGCTTCCCTGTAGGAAGGACTGTATAGTGACTCCATTCAGTGACTGGACAGTGTGTCCTTCTTCATGTCAGGAAGGTAATTTTATCCATTGTGTGCTAGCAGACAGATTTCAAGATGAAAAAAAGGGGAGTTAGACTAGCAGTCACTTTTGGCAGAATGCTTATACACATCTCTTTCTGACAGGGGACTTGTAGTACCTGATACAGCAGCTGCAGGGTGGAGACAGAGTATTTGCTGAAAAGTATAGTTATTTCTATGCATTTTGTATATGTAAAAAAAAGGGGAGTTAGACTAGCAGTCACTTTTGGCAGAATGCTTATACACATCTCTTTCTGACAGGGGACTTGTAGTACCTGATACAGCAGCTGCAGGGTGAAGACAGAGTATTTGCTGAAAAGAATAGTTATTTCAATGCATTTTGTATATGCACCTGTTTGGATTTTTTTTTCTATTTTGCCTAATGTTATGAACTCCAATTGCATCTTACACTGATAAAGAGATAACTAGTTACAGAGTAGCCACATCTCTCTTAATGTAACACCAAACCAGATACTTGTATGGTTGTAGCATTTGAATTGTCAGATTATAAAATGGACAGATTTGGTATTTGGAAATACTTATGCTGTTTGCTCATCAGCAAAATCTGAGGCTTTATATACCAGGAGATAGATAAATAGGTAGATAAGTAGATAGGCAGTTCTATGTAAATTTGGCTGGCCTTTTCTATTCCAGGGAAAATTGAAGGAAAGTTAATAAAAATCAGCAGAATTTACATTGATGTTCATGGTCTGATTTAAACATACAATCCAATACCATTTTAATACACTTGGCAAAGCCCTTAAAAACAGTGCAGGCCCTGAATTTTTATTACATTAAAATCACACATGAAGTTAGAGTGATGACAGTCTTAATATTTCCCCCATTTTTATGTCTTATTTCTTTTTCTTTTTTAAGCTTAACAGGAGGTGTTTTTCTAATATGTACTATTACAGACAGACTCTGTAATACCCCCTGTTCCACAGGGTGCTAATCCCTGTGTGGGACATGGTGATTACTCACAGCTACCATATTATCAGAATACAGGATATAGTTACATCAAATATACAGACTTGCACTGTCACAGTCAATTCCTTATGCTTCATACAGGGCACAAGCATAAGGAAAGACATTTTTTGCAGTTTTGTTTAGTGCATTCTAACACATGACAAAACAGGTTAGGAAGACTAAATTCATAACCTTTGAGAAAGAGCAGAGAACTAAAACCATTAAATCTGAATCTATGAAATGAAATAGTTATTCATTTTTAAATACTGTGTTATTTTACAGCAGTATTAATTGTTCTTTCTGAAATATTTTGTTGGAGCAGATCATCTTGGACAACAATGCCATCCTTTACTGTTCTCATTTCTGTGGGTTTTAAGGAAGTTCTTGATGCAATGAGCATATCTTCACAAATATTTACTACAACTAGCACATAGGATTATATAAAACAATATATTTGTGAACCAATACAGGCATTTTGTCTATTCAGTGAGCCTAACTCTTTATATTACACAGACAATTTTTATTTCATGGGGTTTACCCATTTGTGTCAGCAAGCTGGTCAGTAGCTTGTCTGGGCTGCACGTCTGTCTTGCCCCTTGTGCCAGCTCCTGGCATCTCCTAGAGCTGTTTGACTCTGGAGTGAAGGGTTTCCTCTGTGTTGAAAAGTAGCCAGGTGGTGGAGAGCCACCAACGGGATTCTCCTACTGCTTGCTCCTAATTACAATTGCTTGGCTGTGGTCCAGCACGCTTCTGTGTTCAGACAAGCTGCAGCTGCTGTAATAACCCACCCAAAGCTGATATCAACCCAGTCAGCCAAATGTCTGCTCTACTGCTTTCTGGCAAAAAGAAAAACCCAAGACTTTTACCTAACAGTATTTGTGCATTAGGCACTGCTGTGGAACTAATACAGATCTGTAGCTTTTCTCTGAGTTTTCCACCTGAAGAACTGATACCTGAAGATGATTGAAATAAAAATTCCTACAGGAACTATTTACTGTTAATCATTAATAATGAATTACTATAATAATTAAAAACGGTAAACTGTAAATTAATTCCAGAGTGGAATTTCTGTTGCTAGTTTTACATGCAGATGATTAGGGCGAGCTTACACCTTCAAACTGTAAAGTGTAGCAGCAAACTGAGACAGTTTAATTTTTGTTCAGTTGAAATGTGTATTTATTTCAGCTGTCAGTTCATTTTACAGTGTTGCTGCTATTGCTTTCTGTTTAGTTCTGCTTCCTTAAGCTGATATTAAAGTGTTTTTTCTATTCGGCTTAATTTTTCTGCTTGTGGGCAAAACAGTATGTCCATAGTATAGCAATCAGTTCAAATGCCTGTTATGTTAAGTCTTATTTTCCCCCTCATTACTGTCATACCTATGTAGTAGCAGGAGAAACGAGCTCTTCTACTCTTTGCAGGGGGTGTCACGATAAGGAAGCAGTCCCGTCACCGAGTCATCATCCAGCTCCCCGCCAACGGTGGTCGAGAGTGCCCAGACTCTTTGTTTGAGGAAAGGGAATGTGAAGTTTCCCCTGTCTGCCATAGCTACAGGTATGAGAGAAACAGCTCAGACATGATTTTTCCATTTGTACTACCTCTAAGCTTGCTGAATTCCACTTCTTAACAGGAGGTGTTTCTCTAATATGTGTATTTAGAAAAATAGAATACATATCTAAATCAAGGCTTCAAAACAGGTAAGTAGATTCAATTGGTCCAATAGTGAATCACAAGTTCATTTTGTTCCAGTTCCTTTGTAGGGACATTACAGCAACTAAGAATTACTTTGCAGGACAAATTTTTCCTAGAAACAGTTTTGACATTCTATACATATAAAAAAAAATTCTTTCAAAATTATCCAAGCACTGAACTGCAACCTTATCTGTTTAGCTTCTAGTGCCACACTGTGCCACCCACTGTATCCTTCATCTTGCTATCCCTGTAAGCCTTGAGACAGTCCAGAGTTGAATATATCCCCTATATCCTCTGCATTGTCCTAATCTTCACCACAGAATGTTGAGGACTGTTCCAGTAGGTGGGGATCTGCACCATCATTGCTTAAGAAAATATTTGGGTAGTTCTATAGTATCTATCTGAGTGGTGTGGGAAGGTCTAGATATACAAGATCTGGTTGTTGATAAAGACAAAATTTAGAGAATTCTGATGCAGTTGGTTAGATTTACTTGACAAAATAATTTTAAAAAAGATAATTTTTTTGTTATATGAATAATAAATATCAAACATTTATTGGAAGCCAATGTTCTGTTTCTCCACCTGCTAATTCCCATGAAACTACTCACTGTTGCAGAGGTACAAATAGAATTTAATCTTATTTTAATGAAAAGAAATTGAGATTAAAGAAATGTGTTGCTTTCATCATTTGGTAAGAATTACCATTGCAAATTCATTAGGAGATCATACTCTATGCGACTAAAGGATATGAAAAGATTTAACAGAGCTTTGGGAAGCTACCAAAATCAGTACTCCAAACATCAGAGAAACAGAGCTTTCTCTAGTCAAAATGAGGCTCAGAGTTTTATCTCTTAAAATGCTGGCTACTGCTCATCATTTTAGCATCTTCAGTATCTGAGCTGCATGATAATGTGCTGAGCAGAAGAAAGAAGAGTTGCTGGAGAGTGGTAGATGAGGTCATTTACATTTCATGACACGAACTAATACTAAACACATGTTCTGTATTTTCCTTTAGCATCTTTCTGACCTACACACATGCTGTGACAGATGGATCCACACACTCAGTTGGCTCATGCCTTACTTCAGTTGCTGGCCCATAGACACGGGTTGCAATGCAACTTGAAGTACAAAATCATTGAGATAGTTTGAAACATGCAAAGTTCTGATGGTTGGAGCTGTGGACAAAGAATTTCCCCCCTCACTGTCAGTAATTTGGGCAACTTTGGATTATTTTAGAGTTGTGACAGCAACCAGGCTTGCCTGGATTTGCTGTATTTAAGGCCTAGGGTATTCTGCAGCACCAGCAGGGAACTTAGCAAAAATTTCATAGCAGTTTATATTAATGATAGAATAATTTAAGCAGCATAATATTGCATATCTTCTTTTTGTCTGTTTTATTTTTATATGGTGTGGGACCATGTTCACATTGTGTTGGATTTTTTTGTTGGCTGTACTTTTGTAAGGTGTTGCTCTTCAGCTACCCAAGATCCCAAGGATTGCCTGAGGCAGCCTCGCAGTCATTCAGGCCCACTGTCCCAATACTTTGCTGTAGCTGCTGTTCCTTTTTTGCTTCTTATTTCTCCCCTTGGAATAGTACTTGGCAGATGAAGCTTACCAAAGGAATTTGTTTGTTGTGACAGATTTACCCTTGTAATCATGTCCTTTGAAATTTGAGAAAACAAAATAAACATCCTGAAATTTTGCTCATCCTACCTTATCTTTGTCTGTAGCTCCAAGACTTATTTGTGCTTCAAGCAAGGCAGAATTGCTCCATTTATTTTTGTGTTGCAAGGCATGCCTAAGGGAGGGGGGTAAAAAATAAACCTGGGGAAAAAGAAAGAAGGAAAAGCGAAAGAAATGCAGTAGCACCTATATGTGACAGTATTTACTGACAAAAGACAATCACAGTATTGCCTGAATCAGAAATCAATCCAGAGTCTTATCTCTGGAATGTATTTGGGAAACTTCAACTGTCTTTGCTTCTCTGATAAAGGTGGAAAAAAGAAAGTAAGGAAAAGAAAGTGAGAAAAAGGGAAGGTTTATTTGGGGTATGCCAGTATTTGAAATTCATCCTTATTTAATGGGTCCATGCTGTTTTTATGAGTTGTTAGTGTCCCTTCATTAAATCCACTTTTCAAATTTTGTTGATTCATAAAATTCACTGAGCATGCTTAGATATAAAACCATAGCAAATGTTGAATAGGTATTCAAGTCATATAATTTTATTGTTTTGTATAGTTTCCTTTTTTGAAATTTCTTTCTCATATCTTGTCTATGTTAATGCTTTGACACTCCTTGTGTATTTGTTAGGCAGTGTTAATGTACCTTTGTATTTTGAAATCCTTGAAAATATATATGGTTTACTTTCTCTTCCTTCCTTTGCCTCCTCCTTTCTTCTTTGTGTTCCTAGTGGCTTCATCCTAAAAGGAGAGAAAAAGTTAACAGAAATAGGGCTAATTTTGTGGTATTGTTACTGGGTTTTTGAATTTCCTGTGACGAGTTAGCAATAATAACAGCGTACAGTGGTTTCTAAGACTGTGTAGCACTTGTACTGCTTCAGGTTTGATGGCTACAAGTTCAGATGGATTGTTTGAAGCTGATTGCTTCCCCTCTCATTTCAGGTGGAAGACTCACAAATGGCGCAGGTGCCAGCTAGTGCCATGGTATGTGCGCCAAGACAGTCCGGGAGCACATGAGACTTGTGGACCTGGGCTACAAGCAAGAGGTTAGGCCCTTTGTTTCTGTCATTTATTCATCAGAAATCTATAGCTCCACTGGGGTGGGAAAAGCCTAAAATTTTAGTCATTATAAACTAACATTAGTTTTATCTATCTTTATACACATCAGCAAAGAGAAATACTGAATGCTAGTACAGCAGGGTACATCATAACCAGTATTTGGCCAGTGCTTTATTCATAAAATATCAGCGTTGGTTTATTTGGAAGTATAGATACCATATTAGTCACTAATTTAATGGTATTTTTGTTCAGTTTATTTCACCATCCTTACCTGAACCAAGTTTTAGGGAAAAGTATGTTTAGGGAAAAGTATGTTTTCAAAAGAAAGAAGAAAGGGATAGGTGACTTTACATGCTTATTTGTGTGTAAAAAAAGATTGTGTAAATTCATCTGTGAAAATGTGATATTTTACATGGTGAGGATGTACAGACATGTTTATGGGTATACCCACTGGACATTATATAAGGCTTTTGCTTCCTGTGTTTGCTTGTAAATTTAGGGTTGGAGAACCCTACAATAATTTTCAGCTGAAATGTCATGCTGGACGTCTCTTGGTCTAACCCTCCACCCAGAGCAGGGCCAGTTTCAAAGTAAATCCCACCCAGACTAGAATGGGTTGCTCATGGCTGTGTTTCAGTATGTTTGGAGTATCTGCCAGCATGAAGATCCTACATCCTCCCTGACAGTTAGTTCCTGATGTAATTTGTGTCCATAGGCCCTTACTCTTTCACTGTATGTCTCTGAGAACAGTTTGTCTATCATTTCTCTGTACCTTCAAATTAAGGCAGTTACAGAGAACAATGGGAACATGAGAGATGCAGGACTTTGCTTTTATACTATTAAAATTCACTGCCAGCCCATTTCTCCAGGCTGACAAGGTCCTTTGACTGGCAGCCCTACCTTCCAGGTAGGTACTGGCTGCTCAAACTAGTATTGTTCTCAAACTTGCTGAGGATGCTTTCTGTACAGGTTGTTAAAGGTACTAAACAGAATTGGCCCTGGAATTAACCACTGAGGTGCAACGCCCTTAACCAGCTGCTGGTTGGACTTCAAAACCACTGACCCATTGAGCCCAATGATCCAGACAGTTTCGCACCAATTCTATTTAATAGCAAATAATGTTTTGCATCCAAATCCAGGTTTACTGTCATGTGTCTTCATAGAGAATTTTGTGGTTTTAACAGAATTGTGTATGTGTGACTCTGTTGAGTATAGTCAGGAGAAGTTTTTCTAGGTGCATTAAAGAAATTCAGTATGAAAATAATTGCAGTTCCTACTTACTGTGTTACAGTAATTGAATTGCTTTGAACTACTAGTCAACCTTGAATTCCAGGAAGGTTTTCCTCCTTTGCCTTTGTTCTGAGTGCAAACTCCTTTCCATTAAAGC